TTTGAAATATTACTGTCCATTAAATTCATAGAAATTTTTTCAAATCTGATCAAAATTTTTTCAAACCTCTTTCAAATATGGTAATGCATACAAATGTGCATATAAGCAAATGAAAGCTATCTGAGCATCTCTAAAAGACTGGAGATGGACAGGTATAGCATAGGAGCAGATGTATGACATTCAAAGAAAAAAATTACTACTGGAATAAAATTCTGTGAGCATCAATGTTTTCTAAATAAAAAGGTTAGAAATGACAACTTAAATAGTGAAAATTGTCATGACATCAATCTACAAGTGAGGTTCAAGGACATGGAATCATACAATTTGACAACATTAATTATAAACAGATTTCATGCCATGGACAATTAACTTACATCAAATATTGCTTATATTCACGTGACTTCCTGACATCTTACTCTGCTACAAATACATAATATTACTAAATAAAACTTATGAAATATTTTAGATTAAAGAATAAAGAGCTATTTTCAATAAATTCAACAAGAAATAGAGTAATTCTTGTTTTCTGTTGTTAAGGTTTGTTTTCAATTGTAATCATGAAAAGTTTAAAAGTGACCTGGTAAATATGAAATTCTATAAGTAAGCAAAGATGAAAAATGTTTGCATTCATCAGTGTTGTAATTCAATTGAAAAAATAATCTGGTTTTTATGTTAAAATCTTCACTGAATACTGGAATTTAATTTTTTAACCCTATAATCTAATTTTTTAGACTCAGTTCCTGCTGTAAAATTAACACTTTACCATCACAATAGAACTGAGGACTTAAAAGTCTCTGACTCTTCACAAAATGCTTTTCATATCTTATTATGAAGTGGGAACTCCCTTTTGCTTATGAAGAGATAAGGAATGAATTGTATTTATATATTTATTTACCTAATCATTAAATTTCAAACTATTTTTAAATTGTCACACAAACAGTCTGGATACACTAGTTAGATAATTATGTCAAAATAAGTCCTAATGTTACTTATAACTAAAATAAATCAATAAAAATCTAAAAAACAAATCAGCCTTAAATCACTAGGTAACTAAGTGTTTGGAAGTATGTCAAGATGAAAGACAGAATGACTGCAATTTAAATGTTGCCATTTCATATGGGAATAGTTGCTCAGTGGCAGAGAGCTTGTCAGCATCCACAAGATCTTGGCTTACATCCCCAGAACTACACAATTCCAATTCCTTGATCATTTACCTCCAGTAACTATTGGCTTCAATTAGACATATGGTCCTATTTTTTTTTTCTGGTATCATGGAGTTGAAAGCACAGAACTCAAATAAGAAATGATCACTAACATTAAATGGCAGGACCATAGCGAAATATGACCATTTCTATAGATACTGGTAGCATACACACCACATGAAACCTTCTGTCTTTGTTACCTGCAGTGAAACCTCTTGTTTGGATCCCCCTGTTTTGTTAGCATGGCATTTACAAGGACAATTTATGGATTCTTTTGCCTTTGGAGGCTCTCCCTGAGGAGAAGCCAAACAACTATTAGAGTATCCCTACAGCCTTTGGAGATTAATAAACGACCTGGAAGTTACCCACTAATTGTCAGGGACAATTTGTTTTCAATTGTGACTTTGCTTATTAATTGGTCATATGAGCCAGTAATCCAAATTCAGGGTTTTATCCAGAAGTATCTTGTATTAGGATCTCAAAAATATTCTAGTACTCTCATGCTCATTGCTGCATTATTTGATTACCCAAAATGTGGGAAAAAAAACCCTAAACATCTTATATAAGGTATTGAAAACACTCTGTAGTACTAGTTACCATTTTTCTTGGTTATCTATGAATGTATATATCTACAAACACTGTAAGTTTGCAGAGATTTTAAGTAAATTTTGTAATACGCTTGTGACTGTCTTCTTCTGAAGGTTTCTTTCTTCACTTCATTATTTGTCTTGGACTCCTCCATGATAATTAGCTAGAGGTTTTTCTCTTATTTTGCCAAATACATAAGTTTATTATATATTTGAAATGTTTCCCCAGATAGGTGGCTTCATCTGTGAACTCTGCCTTGGGTGTAAGGCCCCTTGTTTTCTGCTCCTGCTGGTTCTCACTGCAGTGGACCTGGCCATGAACCCTAAGACAAAGGCACATGCTCCGTTTTATACCATGCTACCAAGCTGATAGTCTTGCTTCCTGTGCTGCTACCCAAGGCTAGCAGAAACATCATGGAAGCAGTTTCATTGTGGCCTGAATTATGAGTTCTAGTCACTAAGTCTCAGATGTACACCTTTGGGTATGGACCAAAGGACTCTTCCTGTCACTTGGATTTATGTTGGTATGTTCCAAACTGGGTTTCAAGTCAAAAGCCTGACTCAATTCCCTATTTCCCTTTTACAGGGTAAGCACCTCTCTTCAAGCTTTATTGCAAAGAGTTTGTTAAATATAACCACATGATTCCACTCTTAAATCATATTCGATTTTCAAAATTAAATTGTTAAAAATAAACTTCACCTATTCACATTAGCCCATCTTTGATTTAAATTTATTTTAATGTACTTATGTGTTCATTTATTTATTTATTGTTGCCAGGGCTTGTAACCAAGGGCAATAAACCACTGAGCCACATCCCTAGCCCATTTTTGTTTTTTTTTTTTTAATTAGAGACAGGGACTCACCAAGTCTCCAAGACTGTCTTTGTACTCACAATCCTGCTGCCTTAGTCTCCTGAGCTAATGGGATTACAGATATATGCCACTGCACCCAGCTTGATTTATTTTTATAATAAAATTTATACTTTATAAAATTGAAGCTTTGTACATTCTGTTATGTCCCTCTTTTGTTCACTTTTCTATGGCTTTTTGACCTTTAATTATTATTTCAATTTTGCATAATTGTATCTGTTTTCTCCAATCTGTGACATATTTACTTTTTAATATGTATTTTCATTGTGTAAATATTAGAAGCTTTAATTAATTAATGAATCAATCTTTTAGAATTTTGATTTTGTTTAAGGATATTTTCTGTGCTGAATCATAAACAATTATACACACATATATTCACACAAATAGGCAGTCCATTTATACGAACAACATATACACAGATAATCAATGTCAGTGACCAATTTTAACTTTTGATATTTAAAAAAGGAGCTATGCAAATAGTAGTAGCTTTTGGGGTTCTTTATATATCCTAGAGATTA